CAAAATTTCGGTTTTCGGTTTTTTTCGGTTTTTTATTTCCTCAAACCGAAACCAAACCGAAAACCGAATTATTTTTTTTTTAAAAACCGAACCGAACCATTTCCGAAAAAAAACCGAACCATATTTCTTATTCGGTTCGGTTTTCGGTTTGGTTCGGTTTTAACCCGAATTTGTTTCACCCCTACTCGTGCCATTGCCGCCACAGTTGGATGCTTCGAGCTTTGTTGTTTCCACCATGCAAGGAGGTCGAGGCTGTTTATCTCATCGTCGTCCATGCCTTTGGTGAAGTCGTAACTCAGGTACATCTGCAACTCCGAGACGTCGCTTTGCGTTCTCCTGATTGATGAATCACCTGAAAACCTTGAAATCAAGTTAGTAGCTTGTGAAAATAAATGTTTGGCCTTCTTACTTACGTTTTTGGATGGTTGGGAAGGCCCTGAGCGAGGAACGGTGCCATATTTGGCTTCATAGACTCTATATAAAGCAAAAAACTGATTCTTCTCATTAGTCTTATAGTTTTCTACATCATCGTCAAGAAACATGCATTGAAAGTAAATGTCAACTAACATAAATGTGTTTTCATACTTTTGCCTAGGATCTAATATGGAAGCAAAAATATAAATCAAAGGAATCTCACTATAATATTTACGCCACTTTTTTTCCATTGCTGGAAGATACTGATCATAATCACTTTGATGGCGATGATCAGCGAAAAGTTGGGCGAGTAAGCATGCATTAGAAAGAAAGTTTTGAGCACAAGGATTGTAAACAGTAGAAAAAACAATACGTCATGTTATATAATAACTGTAAAAATTGCATATATCTTTCACAATTATTCCAATCATCATCATACAAAGTTTTGTGGAAATTTTTTGTTGTAAAATAATGTTAACGGGCCCTTGTACTCAATTGCCTTTGTTAACATGTCATAGGTGGAATTCCACCTAGTTGGGCAATCGGTTCTAATTTTTATTACCCTTATCTTTTGTTGTTTTAGAAAACTCTTCCATTCTTGGTATCTCATGTTAGAGCTATTAATAGACATAATAGCATCTCTGATTTTGCTGTAGTATGGGCCAATTGCCCGAACTCCATCCTGTACACATAAGTTAAGTACATGGCAAACACATCTAGTATGAAGAGCTTCACCGTCTAATAGTACATCGGTTAAGTTTTGTTTGATAAGATTAACTGTGTATGTCATAGAGGTTGCATTATCAAAAGTCATAGACATCACTTTATCTCGAAGGTTGTATTCGTCTATTGCTTGCATTAAATGGTGAGCAATGTTAATGCCGGTGTGTGGGTATTCCAGCATTTTGAAATGTATTATTCTTTTTTGTAACATCCATTGATCATCTACCCAATGGCAAGTCACACATAAATAGTGATATTTATAACCACTATCCCAAGAATCGGCTGTTAAAGATACTCTACAGTTAAGGTTACTCAATTCGGCTTGTAACCGGACTTTGTACTCTAGGAAATTTTTCATTGCGGCGGAACGAACGGTTTTCCTAGAGATTCTTTTATGTTGGGGTTGTAGTGCTTTGTTAATGTAGGTGTTGAATGCGTCACTTTCCGAGAAAAGAAAAGGTTGTTCGGCGTGTACTATCATTTTTCCTAGTTCATCCCTATCCCTCTCATAGTTGTATGTAAAGCCGTATGGATGGAATTGGGAAATTTTGGGCTGGGTTGGATCACTAGCTGGTTTTGCACAAGCTTTCATGTGTCTAGATAAGTGTCCCGTCCCGTTTTTGGTAACTGTCGTGAATACACTATTACATGTTTTACATTTTGCCCATTGTTCACCATCTTTACTTAGGACAAAATAACGCCATACCTCACTCCTTCGGTTTTTCAAAAGTAGCATCTCAGTTTCGGTTAACCATTCATGATGTGTGTGATGGTTAGTAGTGGGACTAGTGGGAGTGGCAGTAGAAGGGGTAGAACCGGAGGGAATTCAGGTACTTTCTTGGCTACCTTGGCTAGAACAATAGTTTTGTTGATCACCGATATAATTAGGTGGAAATTGGTATGGTGGTAGTGGAAATTGGTTTAGTGGTGGTGCTAGAAATCCCGACGTATTATATGGCTCATAGCCCGGGGGGAAGTAAATGGGGTCATTGGTTTGACTCGTAATTTGGGGGCTCGTTGTATTTGGTGGTTCCCTAGAACTACTACTACGGATAAGTCGGCCTTTCCCCCTAGACCTAGATGATGGGTTGTTCGATGCCATAATTAACAATTAATTTTTTAATAAAAAGTGGTTAACTATAATAATAATAATTAATAACAACAATTTTAACAATAAAAATATCAATAATAATAATTAATAACAACAACTATAACAATAACAATAACAACAAAATAAATAATAACAACAATTGTAACAATAATAATAATTAATAACAACAATTATAACAACAACAATAACAATTAACAACAATAATAATTAAACAAGATTATTCTAATAATAACAATAAAACAATAATAAATTTAAGATTAGTTTAGATCTTACAACCGTGCTTCAACGCTCTACTAATTACGATTACGAACTTTTTAATTTTTTCCGATATTAGGAAAATAATTAGAGAATTTAAGAGAATAATTAGAGAATTTAAGAAAATAAGGATTATTAGAGATTTAGAGAATATAAGAGATAAGAAGAAGAGATTGTGATTTTGTGATTTGGGAATGAAATGGAGGTGAGTATTTATAGAATTTTTGGGGAGCCAATTGGCAAAAAACTAGCCGTTTTTTAGCCGTTTTTTTGGCTTATTAAGGAGCTAGAATAAACGGTAACATTACCGTTGGCCCGCGGGCCGTTCCGGTCCGTGCCTGCGGGCCGGCACGACGAGCCAGCACGGCGGGTCATGGCCGTGCTCGTGCCGGGAATTCTCAACCCTGTCCGTGGCACGGGAGTTGAACTTCGTGCCGTGCCGTGCTTGAATTCGGGCCGTGCCGGGCGGCACGCGAGCAACCCGGCCCGTGCCCAGGTTTACTAGTAGATATCTATCAACTAAAAAGTGAGGCAAAATTTAAAAGGAGAAAGGGAGTAAACATTAATTAACTTTTCAAAATTTTTGTAACAAGAGAGCATTATCGTCATTTTCTATTACTCCAATTCCTTAGACATTGCTCTATACACTCACCAATTAATTATAATAAACTACGTCCTCGTAAAAAAAAAAAAAAAAAAAATCGTATAATAATATGCGTTACACGAATACGTGACTTACAATAAAGGTGAACACTTAAACTTGACCTTTTGACTTTAAGCGTTTGCCTTTTGACAAGATTTTATTGGGTGAATGCTTGATTAATGAAAAATTAAACACGCTTTCAAATGGGTTCCTGAAACGTTCTTTTATGATGAATGCTTAAAGTAGAAATATCGATTTCTTTATTGGGTAAATGCTTAAAGTAGAAAGATAAATATCAGCATAAAAATAATAAACAAAAATAAAAAGATTAATGAAAAACACGCTTAAATTAAAGTAAGAAAATCAAATAAACCCAAGATTGAACCGTCTTAATATATTTGAAGTACGCAAGAGTGCGGGATTGCTCAGTTAGTTAAAGTTTTTCTTCCGGCTCTAGGGAAACCTAGGATCGATTGTCGTTACTTACTTTTGTGACTCTCTAAACACTTAAAAAAAAAATTTACTTCGTACATATATTTGAAGTACAATATTATCAAATTCTATATTTAATTTATTTTTGGGGGGCGTATAGCTTTCCAAATTATTTTTTATTTTTTGGTCTTTAGAGAGCCACAAAGACGGATAGTTTTTCAAAATTACATCTTATGAAATCCACTTGGGTAATCTTACTAGTTTGATATTATATACACTATACCAGTGTAATTATGTACTTCGTACGTAGTATGTAAGATTATGACGTATGGAAAATTGGAAATATTAACTTACATAGAATACGATTTTACGATGCGAGTGCAACTTTGTACTGCGCTACTGCGTATATCAATGATCGGGTTATTAAGATCATGACGAAGATCATTAAATAAATCGCTTTAAATGATATTCTCGTACTTACGTATTAAGTAATCATTTATTTGGCATAGTATAATACGGAGTAGAATAATCCGTACAACACAGTTAATTAAGTGAAATGAATAATTTCGGCATTTATGAATCAACAATTATCAAAGACAGTTAAAATAAGATGTTCTAATAAATTCATTTTTGACATGATTAAATTTAACCGTAAATTTATTAAATACAAGTACGTTATAATAAATTTAATTAAATTTATTGTAACGTACTTGTATTTATAATATTTAAGCCATGGAAATTGCTCGGGTGATGTTTTGAGGGGTTATTTTGGCCCTAATGAGTAATGGGTACAAATTAAGCTCATAATTACAAAATAATAATTATAATAACATAAATGCCTCCATTTGCATGTTATATAACATTACTGACACGTAAAATAAGGCAAATACGCTATTTTTTGGCCGATTTGGGGTTTAGATTGGACCCTTTTGAACTAAAATGATCCCCAAAATCTTACTTAACTAACTTCGAAGCATAAAAAATGACACGCAAATCAAGATATTTAATGATACAAAATGAGTCATTTACGTTAATTTTTTTTGCTTATTCCGAGCTCAATTTGGACTCTTAAAGGCAAAATGACCCCCAAAAACTTAACAAGCCAATTTTCGGCCCGCAAATCGAATACTTAAATTTTTAATTATATTAAAAAAATGAAAGGTTCACCGGCTTCGGCGAGAATGGTAGCCGAAAAGCTTACTAAAGGCACGCTTTGCACCCAAATCATCAGTTTTTGGTGTTTTGGCTACTACGCAAAGTACAGGGTGCTGGGCGCACCCAAGCCATAGTTCAGAATGTTGAGGCCAATTTTGCCTTTTGAGATTATTAGATTGACATAAACACAACACTTGACCGATTAAAGGATTGTACAACACATTGGATATAAAACTTCTACTCTAATTATAATTATACTTCAAAGATATTGCTAAATTCAAATAATGGAAGTTTAATTTCAATTTTAAAGGATACTTGGTGAAATAATTTTTTAATGTACAACCAATCGCGTAGTACAAGTATACAACCAAAGCTTTCTCCATTTTATGGAGAACAATATGCGGACAAGTTTATCATCATAGAAAAGATAAACCAACTACCTATTATACATTTATACCACTTTAGCAAAATGCTAGTAAACTGAAGATATGTTTCTCTTTGCATTGTCTTCAGAACGCCTAGCTCCTAAACCATCTCGTCTCTATAAAACAACAAATTGAATATCATCAAATGTTTTCGCTTCATCATCATCTCATAGCCCCAGTCCTCAGCCATCAGCAAATTTTCACAGTTCCAACAAGCTCGATGCATAAATGCGAAGAACACGATGTCAAAGATGTTACCGAAAAGGATAATTTGCCAGGAAACACTGCATAGTCCATCAACAAGGGAGCAACTGACAAAATGAGCATTTGGGCTAATATATCCTCTCAGCAGTAGAGACTGGACGCAGAAACACCACGATCACCGTGATGTTGTCCTTGCTTCCGCGTTGTACAGCTTCTGTTGCTAATCTTTTAGAGCACATACTAGGTTCTTTAACTGTGTCCCTAATTATGCTCACAACTTCTTGATTGCTTATCACATCCCATAATCCGTCACTAGCCATGACCTAATGATTCAGCAAAAAAAAAAGATCATAGGCCAAGTTATTCGGAGTATATATTCATCATCTGCACATCCACCAAGAAAATTTGTTCTTATTTTCTAATTAAATAATTACCGTAGCTACTTTATATTTGACTTATCATATTGTTAACTAGTTAAGGGGTAACTAGTTATACTACAGAGTATTGGGCAGCGACTTTATATGATCCGTATTATGTTTAGAGACCTTTTTTTGAGGGGGTGACTAGTAATATTGTTGAGATGCTTCTTGCTAGTGTTCCTTTCAATGCCTGAGATCAATTGCATCTAAGACCAGCTGATGCAGATGTGGGTGTGGGTGTGGGTGTGACAAAGAAAACATTAGTTATGACCATGAAACATTATAACTGTATCCATTTTGATGGTCTAGACATTTCATTTTTGACAGATATAACATATTAACATTTGACCGACAAACAAAGAGATTATGAGAAAAGAGACAGAATGCTTATGTTATAGCCCATTTGTAAATTTTGTATTCATATTTTATTGTATGAGCACGCCAAACAATTTAAATACTGTAAATTTTTTGTTAATTGTTCTTTTATAATATCCACAAATCCACAATGAACCATTACATATTAGTAAAGGCATGAAAGACTAGGATGACTAAAAAAACATTGAGCAATATGCATTCTATAGCTTGCAAAGAGACATGAGAGACACCACTGCTAGATATTTACTGTTTTAACCCATTGCGAGGTTGAATAACCCTCATCAGTCATCAACTTTGAAAGAAATCTTTTTAACAACTATAAACACTTGACATTCAGAAAATCGATTCCAAATTCATGAATTTCGATCAATTTTTGAGACAAGTGTGTAAGAACGAAGATGGATAAAGTAAAAAAAGAGAGAAAAGGTTCAAAACTTCATCTCAAGATATCTTAAATGCAGAAAAGCCTCTAGCATAAAATAGAAAAATCTCTATTCAAAATAAGAATTTGCATAGCTTCAGAGATTATAGCTAGTGATAAAACACCAAAATACATTTAAATACTAAAAACAGACGGATATAATAATGAGCAAGAATTGTGGAAGTCGAAGCTTGTAAAGAGAATGGACCTTACCAGGTATTCATCTTCTAAAGATAAACCTGTCTCTGTAATCTCAGGTTCTGCAGTCACGGCAGGTTTAAGATCATCATCACCAATGGAGCGTGTAACCTTCACAAAACAGGGGAAAATTAGCTATTCTCAACTTCTATGCGTACCCTATTCCTATCAAGATTATCCCATTCCAAAAGAAAAAATTATAAATAGAGTAAACAAGCACAGCAGAAACACGTCAGAAACAGCCAAAATCATTGCTTCTGATTAAATGTCAACAGCAAAACAAACTGAGTTATTCTATATCACCCAGGTAATGAAGGTCATCATATTTCATGGTCACTGTATGTTTCTCTTTACTTTTTTCCTCTGAGTAGCCAGCTAGCTATTATAAGCAGGTCCAATAAGTTATGTGAATAAACAATGACGGCTCACCCTGTATAGGAGCCCCGACATATATACATAAGAATATGGCTTACACCATACTACATAAGTAACCCTAGTATTCCACAGATAAGTTCTCTATAAGGAGCAAATTAAACTAGCTATTAAGAAGAGAAGATCCCAAAATAATACACACCACAGAGGGCGCTTTTATTTTTTGTTTTCATGAGAGAGGAGGGTGGGGAGGTGTTGTCATCGTTAGCTGCAACAGTTACAAGTGGGTAATGTTCATTGTCACTTATACTCAGCAGGGAGGGTTCCGTTAAGATAGAAAGAGAGTGCTCGGTGGAAGGGAGAAGTTGAAGCATGCCAGCATCTAATACTACAAAAATACAAATGCAAGCCTAATCCAAGAACTAGTAACTAACAGATGTAACCAAAATATATAAAATATAATCCAAGTCCAATAAAATTCCATGTAATCAAAATATACTACCTCCGTTAACAGTTATTTGCAACAAAGGGGGTCAGGCGGACTCCTAGGCAAAACTTCTTAAGCATGATTATTGAAAGTTATGAACATGTAATTAACTATTAATCAAAAAAAAGAAAAAACAATTACAATTAAAAAGAACAGCCCAGAACAACCACCACCACCACCACCACCACCACCACACGCCACACAGAACACCACCACCACACGCCACCCAGAACCCACGAACCACCACCCACAAATCACCGAAAGTCACCACAAACCACCGAAAGTCACCACAAACCACCGAAATCCACCTAAGAATCACGAAAATCACACAAGAACCACGAAAACCACCCTAGAACCACCAGATCTGAAACCCAAAAGTCAAACCCATCCAGAAACTACCCCCACGAACTGCCCAAAACCACCACCATCGACACCCACCCACGAAGCAACCATCCACGAACCACGAAATAGCCACCCCCAAACCACCAACACCCACCCACGAACCACAAAAACCACCCACAAACAACTACCACCAGATTTACCTAACCCACCCACAAACCACCAACAGCCACCCATGAACCGAGATGAGAGATGACAATGAAGAAGATGATGAGTGATGAGTGATGAGAGATGAGAGATGATGATGATGATGATAGGAAGAAGATGAAGATCGAAGAAGATGAAAGATGATGATGAACTGAGAGATGAAGATGGAGGAGAGAGATGGTGGGGAGATGAAATTAGGGATTGATCTGATTTTTTTGGGGGAAAGCTTAGATAATTAAGTTAGATTAGGGTTATAATAATTTGTAATTATGAGTAGTATTATGTGTTAATAATTTTTAAATGCTGGTAATTTGGTCATTTTACCATAAAAAAGTTACTATATTAGGAAAGAAATAGTTTTGTTGCAAATAATAGATAGCACCCTTTTTTAGTAAATAATGTTAACGGAGGTAGTATAATATGTCATACAACCTGAAGAGCTGCTGCACCGACCCTCCATGTATCCAATTGCCATTTCACAACTCCCCCTGCCTTAATTATGCGATCTCTCTCCTCCGGGCAGCTAGCAACATGATCCTGTCATATTAACTCCAATTATAAGCAGTTACTTTTCTGGAGTTAATTTCTAATCCACACATAAATTCTACTCACCCTGCTTAGAGCAACAGCATGGCCAACCCTACACAAAATAGCTCTACAGTCCCCGGCATTTGCAATGTAAAGCTTATTTTTGACAAGAAAAGCAGCTATTGCTGTACAGCCAGGATGATAATCTTTCTTTATTAAACCCTTTGATTTACAATGGGAATCCAGTGCACTTCTAAATTCAATATCAGTTTCAACAAATGCTCTTACAAGAGACTCAGCAGGGCTGCAATTCAAAATTCATAATTTCAGAACCTTGAGCAGATAGAATGAATAAATAACAAGAGACAAAATGACCTGGCGCCACTGGAATGGGAACTCTGAAGTAATTTTGGTAAAGCTTGAGCAGAAAATTCAGCAGCAGCAGCACCTGTACAAGCTTTCAAGTCATGCACACAGCATAGAAGACAGCACAATTCATAGTAGCATGTAGTATCACAACATACACTCAGTGGACTATATTAACACTACAAATCCTACACATGCCATTTGATAGTCTAAAGGTAAGCCATAATAAATATCACACAAAATCCCTATCTACTAGTGGGAAAGTTTACATACAAGACACGTAAAATGAAAGCCAAATGTCATCACATATCCTACATATCTCATAAAAAGTCACCTTAATGTCAGCGCAAACCTGCATATTGCAAGACTAGCTCCTATTATTATGATATTACACCTAGCTTCAAATTGTCGCCTTTAAGGCTTGACTAGCCCCTCAGACCTTTTCAACACAAAATCATTTAGCATTCTATTTCTATTTAAGTTGACACTAAAACTTTATGCAACAAGGAGAGACTGGGACTAGTAAAAGTGGGCACATACTTATATCACATCAGAGTGAGATCTCTCTGTGAAACTTTCATATGAGAAGGCAGCAGAGTAACTGTAAAGCATTGTACAAGTTCCTAGCCACTGGTCAACAGCTTCCATATTAGTTAAGTAAGAAAATCCCGAACATTAAAAGATTCGAAAACTGAAACTTTTCGCTCCTACTTTGCATAAATATAATATGCTAAGTACTTGAAAAGAAGATTCAAAATTGTGATCTCCAATTTTGAAAAAGGAGACTGTCAAACCTTCATTTATTATTTTCTTCATGTTAATTTTTTTACCCTGATAATGTCAGATTACATACCTAGAAAAAAGGAAAAAAAAAAAAAAAAGAAGTTAGCATGAAGAAAACAATAAATGAAGGTTAAAGCCTAAGATAACTTAATATCCTTGGTAAGCATTAAGCAGTAATTAAACAATAAGACCATAATGACACACAAGATAAACTCATTACAAACATGGTGACCAAAGGAAACAGCAGTGGAACTATGGAAGAGGCGAAAATGCACAATGATTCCTGCTAGCAACAGAGTGAACAGACAAGGAAACTAGATATATAATGTACACAGCTTTAACATTACATTTAGCAAAGACCTTCTTGAGATAATGATGAAAACTAAGTTAAAGATTCTTCAAAGAAAAAACTATCCCCTTCAATTAAAACAATACTTACAGCTGCCAAAGCTAAATTCCATCAGAGATCATAAGTGGACAAGTAGTACAGTGTTAATTGACAGTTTGCTCACCTCGATGACCATCAAAGACACCAAAAAAGTAGATATTCTTCTGATCACAAAGCCATGGATTTAGGAAATGAGTATCTTCCATTGTCTCCCTTTGTCCACATGCAGCAAAGGAGCCGTAAGACAGCACTGGATTGTAAGAGGATATATCATTTGGATAATCAAATGAAGCTGGAGTTCTAGAAGTCACACAAAGATAAATCTTTTTGGAGATTTCTGCCCCCTGATTAGACCAGTTAATACTCTCTCCATAAAGTTTAGAGTTGGAGGTCTGCCCCATGAATTGTTGAGAAGCTGTACGTTCAACAGATATATTTTTCTTTTCCACCATGTTTTTGACCTCATCACAAATTGATTTAAGCTCAGAAACCACAACTGTGAAAGAAGGCCTACTGTTGGGATCAGCATCCCAGCATCGCTGAATCAATGACAATAAACTCGAAGGTGCACCTGATTCAGAATCAGCCAAAACAGGACGTAGCCCATCAGACACCACTGCTGCGATGAGTTTCTGCTCTGTATAGTTCATTTCTAACACAGTATGGGCCTACAAGAATCACGTGCATTACACACCAATCAGGAACCTATTTGTCACCATTTCATAAAGAATCAATCATACTAATAATAGATGCATGCCAGAGGCTAAAGAGTGATCAATATAAGTAGGCAACAAAACTTTTAAGAATTCCACCACAAGCTTAGTATTCCTTGACTTTAATCTCCAAAATGGCAAAGAAAGCAACAAATAATTAGATGGCACTAGATTGAAGTTTGCCCAAACCACTTGCATGCTCTGAAAAAATAAAGCTCATATGCCCATTAATAGATACTATGGATAGAACCTTGTGAAATCCTCATCTTCATAGAGCACTCCTTAAGTTCCAAAATAATAGCCAACTTTTTACGGAATAGTACAAAAATCTTGCATGTGCAATAAAGGGAACATAATCTCAAAGGAAGGATCAAGAATAGGAAACTAGAGTTACAAAATGAAGTTGTAGGAAACAAAAAATGTTATCTGGTGCAAAACGCACGATATTCATCCATATTTAGTCATGAGCCCTCAATGTACTAGCGACACAATTGCCTTCCTGTAAGAGATGTTAAGCATACACAATAAGAATTAAGAAGCTGCGGCAACTATGACCGGATCATTAGACATGCTAGCATGATAGACATTATTATTCAGGGAAAAAAGGCAAAATAATGCATTTGTAAAGTACTAACTGTTAAGTAAGATAAAAACTTAACAGATAAATGCATAAAAGTCTGTATAAAACACTCATTAGAATAAGCAATATAATATAAGTACTATATAATATTCAAGTTTACATCTCGTATCCAAGTATTGAGCATAAAATATCTCTTATAAAAGTACAAAAAGAACGAGTCCATGTAACATACATAGGAGTAAGTCATCAAGACTAACCTCAGCTTCTGCACGAACATCAGTGTACGGAACTACCCCCGCAAGAAGCTCACTGCAGATAATGAGGGTTTACAAATGAGGTAGAGAAAAATTATGAGGAATACAAAATTCAACCTATTCAAGTTTCAATATGACTATTGCTTTTTATTTCTAACAAAATAGAAACTTATACTTATATAGCCCATCCATGCAACCAAGCAAGCAATTGAGTAACACATCAAATCAAACTGTTTCAAATTTAAGATTAGAAGAGAAATTGAAGCAAGCCAATATGAGCACCAACATGCAACTAAATACCAAATTCTCACTTGACTGATACTGCAAAACTGTAGACATCTGATTTTTCAGTGTGTATCTCCTTCTTCAGAATTTCAGGAGCCATATAAATAAGAGTCCCAACCATATTTTTCTTGTGAAATCCTCCAGTCGGCTTTCCAGATGATTTCCAGTTCAGTAAAGAAGATTTTTTAAGATCTTTGCCATACTCTGCCAAGCCAAAATCTGCTAGGTGTGGAGAAAGATTTTCTCCTAGCTTCATTTACAGATCAAATTCATAGCAGCGGAAATAAAAATAGTCAGATGACTATTATGTTGTAGGAATAAATAACTCGGTTCACGTAAATATAAAATGATACCAATCAGTGGAACAGTTTTGAAATAGTTGATGATTACAAGAATATTGTCAGGTTTGACATCCCTGTGTACAATCCCAAGATTGTGTAGATACTGCAAAGTCTCCGCTGTACAGGGAAAAATGAGCATTATAAACATATTGTTCATCAGATTAATGTGTGTGTGTGTGTGTGCACAGTGCACGCAAGTCAAAGATTCAAATATTCTCTTTGCATTGAATTATGATCACAATGGACATGATTAAAATGCATCATGAAGCTGTCTTTTGTGAGGTAGCAAAGGGTCATTGCATATCAAATCAAGGGCCAATTAGAAACAGTGTTTCTGTGTGTGTGTGTGTGTGAAAATAGCAGGATGACACAAGCATAAAAGTGCAGTAAAGATGATATTGATTGTATTAAAGCATACAAGACAATACTGAGTTATGAACTAGCTCATGAACTAAGAAGATTAATATAACGTTAAAAAATGGATAAGGATGCTAGCAGGAAATTCAAATAAAATTTCAAAACTATAGCAAATCACTGTATTACAAAATTGAATATGACTAATAGAACAACATGACCAGAAAAAGAATAACTAGACTTACTCCCAAGTCCCAACATAGATCATAGAAAAAAAGAAAAAGAAAAGAAAAGAAAACGGTATATATACAACCCTTTCTTTTGTTGAAAAAATTCCATTAAGTTGTCATGCATGATGAGATGAACCCCCCAACTCTCTGAAAATTACAAACCCTGGCTACCATTTCTTTGCATGTACCTCGTATTAGTCGTATATATACAACCCTTTAATTCCAGCAATGCAAATAAAAGGAATTCAGGTTTTCATCAGCTTAATTAAGATCAGGTCTGTCATGGAGACATTGATAACTCCGATTTTGAATTCAACATACCTGCTATTCTAGATCAATTTATCACTACAATTTCAATCCTGTGAGGTGGGCCTTGAAAATTTATCACAAGTGCAACAGGGATTCACAAATAGCCAACCTAAATATGCTACCTGTATGATTTTAATTTAAGCTATAAAAAACATTGTAAACTTATGACTACTCCCATCCGAAGGAAAAGGTTAACAACTTAACCTGAATGAAAAATGAAAGAAAACATGATTTCCAATCCTAAGAATGGCAGTAGTAATACAGGCAGAGGTTTGAATCTTTCTAACCACGAGAAGTTCAAGCATTTCTATCCTCAAGGAGAAAACTAATCATACTAAATTTCTAATGCCCTGATATTGCCTAAAACAGTTTTGGGTAATGATCGCAACATTTCCTTCATGACAATGATCTGAAGCTTACAATTTAACAAGACAAACTACAACCTTGAGTTCTCGCATAATTTCTAACTTCAGAGCTGCACTGCCATTTACACATTCTATTTTGGATAACTATTGGATTGAGGCACAAAATCTGTCTAGATAAAACATCACCATTTGAATCGTTCGTTTTCACACCAAGCATATCAATTATCATAAATTACAAACACGCACTTAATTTAGGATAACAGATAATCAGTCGGTTAATCCACATTTCAAGCTATGGATAATTTATTCACTTGGGGGGAAAATCACATATTAAGTTCTACTGCACGAGTTTAAAGCAACTAGTACTGTCTGTCAAACATATTCTACCTCATTAACTATTAAGGGATGGAATAGATTAGGATAAGATGACAGTACAGATATTATTATTATTTGTTAGATTACATTGGAACCCAAGAAGAAGTACCTAGCTCAAGAGTGATAGCAAGAGCCTGATCAACACTTGGGACCCACTCCTCTACATGTAGCTTATGAGCAAGACTACCCAACTCATAGAATTCAAAAAAGAACATGTAATTGGGTGGCTTCGCGTGAGCTGCAATTAACCTCCCGAGTCCCGGATGATCCAGTTTGCTTCATGAAGATAATACATGGAGCAGCAATATAAAAAATTACTAGAACCGTAAATACCAATTTTTTACAAAGATATACTTGTAGTAGTCAAAATTGTGCTTTGGAAAATGTATCAAGTCAATATGTTACAACAAATGAATGCAACAGAATTACTTCGAACAAGCATCTATTTGTCATTACAAAAAAAACTTTTTGTATAAGTGACTTTGCAAATACAACCTTTTCAAAACTAAATTGTAATTTTTGTGATGGATGATTCTAGGTTTCAAATTAAATCAATATTATATATATATATATATCACTTTACTCATTAATATGATGACATCAAGACCACTATTAACAAAGCCAATCAAAAAATCAATCAAATAAAATAAAATAAAAAATCATTAGAGACCAACCATAACAACTGCAATTGTTTATGAAATCTATCAATATCATCAGAAGTTGACAAAATGGGCTTTTTAATTGCAACTTTCCGACCATCCAAACTTCCTTCATATACAACACTCTCACTCCCTGCAATTCAGAAAAATAACCAGAATCAGAATTCCACAAAAACACCCAGAATTGATGAAAAAAAAAATTGCAGGAAAGTAAACGGAAATTACACACACCTCGAGCAATTGGGGAAGAGAGAGAAAATGAAGAAGGTGGGAGATGAAGAGGGATGGAATTACTGTGACAACATCCTCTTATGCAAGTGTTTGGCTCGATGATTTTTAACCCCATTTTTCTGGGGTTGTTTGCTGTTCTTCTCTTTGGCGCTCTCTTTGTTTCTCTCTTTTTTATGTTGATGAATTAGTGTGTGCAAATGCAGAGTTTTTGGGGTGGAAGGGAGTAACACGAATACACGATAGACGAAATCGATTGTGCTTTTGAGGATGTGAACTGTAGTATAGACCCAGTTCACAGCTTGCAATTAATATTGACTCGAATTTAGGAAATTTTGACTTTTCGAAAATGGCCTTTGCGGACTTTTAGTACCCATCTAAAATTTTATTTTATTTTTGCACCTATCAAATTCTAAAAGTATGGCTTTTGATACCTCCGTCTAACTTCTGTTACGGTCTCCGTTAGTGGGGCCCAGCCATCATCCTGCCACCTTCTAGCCACCCCTTCCTCCTCAGCCACCTACACTGCCAGCCCCCCTCCCCGTATCGGCTGCCGGCGACCCCAAAAAACTCCCCATACCGGCCAGCCTTGCAACAACCAGGTGCGCAGCCAGTCACCCCAGCAGCCTGCCGCCGCGGCCAGGCCGAAGCCTAGCCACTGCAACCTGCCGTTGCGGTCAGGCACGCAACCCAGTCCAGCCGGCCGACGATTCTTGCACACTCCAGCCGCCGCCACCACTCGAAACTCCCTTAATTCACCTCCCCTACTCCCGAAAAACCCCAAACACTCATCCCCCACCATCGAAAACCCTAGTCGCTAGGGTTTCGGGGTACGGGGAAGGAGCAATACGAAATTATGGGAGTGTGGGAGGGGTTTCTGTGGTGGTTGCGTGGAAGGTTGGGGAAGAAAGAATGGCGGTGCGCTACGTAAGGGAAAGGGAGGGGTGGGGTCGCTGGTGCCGGGGGAACGTTTGGGCATCGGCAGCCGGCACGGGGAGGTGGAAGGGTGGCTGACGAGGAGGGGGGAGGGGTGGCAATGGCTGGGTTTTTTTTAAAAAAACAATTTTTCTTTTTTTTAATAAATTAAATCATTAATTAATTAGATAATGGGCCCCACTTAACAGAACTCTAATGGATTCTATTAAGTGGTACCAAAATCTATATTTTGTAACTTTGATAAGTACCAAAATAAAATAAAATTTTAGATGAGTACCAAAAGTCAGCAGAAGCCAATTTCGAGGTACCAAAAGTCAAAATTCTCTCGAACTTATTTTTGTAAAAAGTTGTGTTTTAAGAAGGTTAAAATTATGCAACTTATTTTTGTGAAAGCTCCCTAAATTGTTTATACGTAGTATTTGTTAGGATAATCTCCCAACATTCCGAATTAATAAGGTAGCATTACTAATTTACTACTCCGTATTAGTAGTAGTAATTAACTTATAAATTAATTATTGTGGAAAGAAAAAGGGGGAAGGAGAAGTTAATGGTGGACGTTGGCACGTTGTTGGAGATTGTCTCCATACTCTCCAATTGGTTGAATCAAAGAGAGTAAACTTAAACTTTTAGGCAGACTAGTGATATGCAGGTTGTTTGTTTTACTAGGTGAAACAAAATTGTCTCAAATATTAAAAAGTGAGTGCAATAATCAACACATAATAAGATAGCAAATAAGACTTGGTTGTGGTGGCTCAATAATCTATATTTCATCCTCATAATTTTTGTTTATTTACATCAAACGTATACATATTCCTAGGATACAATTTCTAGAAAGATTTACCCTAATAAGTCACCATTTATAATTGTACATATATCACCTGATCAAAATAACAAAACACTACAAGACAAAAACACTAGAGAGCAAACCGTTTATAAATTCATACAATGCATTATTAATCTCCTATTGATCTTCATCATGGGGGCTAGCTTTAGGTGGATTAGTGGTAATATAAAAGGGTGATCATTCGTGGTGAGGGTTGAGTGAAGAAAAAGGTGTGACCAATTTTTAATCTAATATGGCAAAACGAAAAACATTTTTTGCAGGGATGCCATTGTCCATACCTAATTGGCTAACTTTATTACTCTCTTGTTTTTTCAAGTTCTCATTTAGATCAATATATTTGTCGGTGCAAAACTTTAATCAATCTTTAATTATCAATGAATATAAATTACCAATATAGAGCACTTAAAAAGCACAAGGAGTACTTGTAAAAAAACACACACACACAAGGAGTATATGGGCTAGACTATTTTATGGGGCCTATGGCCTTTCTAGTAAAAAAAATACTTTGATTTTTTTTGGAAATTATTTTATAAGGTACAAATTTTATTATTTTCTTAGAATCTTCGGTCTACTAATATAAAACAATGTAAAAACTTAATTTTGACATACTTTTATGCATTTAAGGTAAAATATAAACCTATATAAGCACAAAGACAAATATATACAAAGTACTACGAATATTTTTATTATTTGTATATGTTAGCATCATTAATAGAGAAAATATATAAATAAATATTTTTAGGGGTATAAATATCCACACACTATTTTTAATAGTTTTTTAAAAAGAGGCAATAATAATGAGGACAAATAAGTAAATAAACATTTTAGAGGGTATAATTGTCCAAACACTATTTATAAGAATTATTTCGATTTTTTTAGAGCATTAAATTGACAACAATGAGCAAAAAAAATGTTAATGAGCAAAAATATTGGACAAAAACCAAAATAAAGCTACTAACTCAATGAGCATTACCAAAAATGCTCATAAGATGAGTAAAAAGGATGATCGGTAATTGGTGAGCCCCGCAACAAAGATAACCGGTAGCTTTTTTTTTTTTTTTTTTTTTTTTTTTTTTTTTTTTTTTTTTCCTTTTTTTTTTTCACTTTTCCCACCCCCAAATGTTGTGTTTTAGGTGGGTTTTAAAGAAGATCTGTAAAATTTGTGTGCTAACTTTGTTTTACTTGTGCGTTGTGTAAAATTTGTATTAAGAATTTCATTGACTTACCAATCTTATTTTATTTTATAATCCAAATAATATGTACCTTTACCAATTAAATCCATTGTTTAAGAAAATTATTGTCATTATTTATGACAATAAAAACAATAATATTTGACAATAAAACCATAAAATTTGACAATGATTTTACACAATACTTCTTAAACAGTAATTACACAATACTTCTGACAATAAAACCAATAATTCTGACAATATATTACATAATTTTACTAATTATTCTTTACATAATTGTTTTAATATAATTAGATTTTAATATATGAATATGGTGATATATAAGAGAGAAAAATGTTTTGAGGTATTGAAAAAAAGTAGGAGAGAGAATGGTGAGGAAATATTTTTGATAATTGGTGGTATAAAAATATAACCACAAAAAATGCTCATGAGCAAGAGGAGTGAAAAAGTAGGTAGAGAGCGAATGAGAAAGTGTTTTTTTTTGCTCACTGTTGTGCTTGCTCTTAAAAGATAGAGATTTGTCAAATACAATAATTTAAATACGAAGTAACTCATTTTGTCAATTACAACCTTCTAAAATTAAATTTGCAAATTGTATCCTATTCTGTGAATTGAGACTCATTTCATTTTTGCCCAAATTTCTTAAAAATGACGTCATGTATTTTGCCATTGTTCACATGTTTTGTTGGGTTGTGGAAAACTCCTTGCAATTGGGCAATTAAAAACCGCAAAAGAGTTTTGTTGCCGTAAAAACACAAAATTTGGAAAGAGGGGAGAGATTTGGGTATTTTCCCACCTAATTTGTTTCCAAAATGTTGATTTTGTGAATGTTGTAGAAATTCAATCCAATACTTCCGCTAAAAATCTATTCTCCTTTGAACAAAGTTTGAGAAAATGGTTTCAAACGGTGAAACTTAGTCAAAATTGAAGAAAATGGATTGAAGTTGGTAAAAGGGTGGCTTGTTCATCATTTATGGTTGTGAATAGAAAGTGAGTAATTTAGTCGACAGTGCAATAGAGTGAAAGTAGAACAGAGGGGAAAGAGAAAATACATGACGTTATTTTAAGGCGATTTTCAATTAATAAGTTTGTAATACTTTTTATATTACAATTTTTATTATTTTAAAAGGTTGCAATTGACAAAGTTGATATTTTAAACGGTTCTATTTGACAAAATTTTCAAACTTTAGAGTGCCAACTAAATTTGGGACATAAAACAAACTGAAATAGCTTCCGAATAAAGCTAGCTATAGTACGTTAGCGGCCCTAATTTTTCCAAAAGTTTTGGCACTCGTGACTCTTCCGAATATGGCTAGCTATGGTATGTTAGCCGCCCTAGTTTTCTCAAAAGTTTTGTTATTCGCAACTCTCGTAAAGTGATATGCTTACCGAGTTTACCCTCGTCTCCCTGCAGAAGAGAGTTGAAGGCAACCTCAATCGTAAACCCGCCTCCTTTTTCACGACACTCTGCTATTTACACCATCTTCGATTTCTGCAACTCTCTTTCTTCAATACTCACCAAATTCAACTCCCAAAAACTCCATTCTTTTCCCACTGAAAAAGCTTATTAGGGTTTAGCTAGGGTTTTAGCTTCAATGGGAAACGAAGAACAGTCTCACAAATCTCATAGGTTTCGGCAAGCTGGTCCCAAAAAATTGGCCAAAAAAAACAAGAAGGCAGCGGGAGACGATGGTTTTGATGATACCAAGAAAAACCCCGCTCGAAACCCTAAGGTTTATTGATTATTGCATTTGAATTTCTTTTTAATTTTCGTGAAATTTTTTTTTTGGGTGTAATTTGATACTAGTATAGGTTTGAAATTGTAAATTTTGTTCTTGTCAAGATGTTTAAGTTGTTGCATTTTGATATTGAAATTGATAAATGTTCTTACTGTAAAATTTGTTTAATTGGGATTGTTAGGCATTTGCTTTCCGTTCAAATGTGAAAGCAAAGCGTTTACAGTCGCGTTCCACTGAGAAAGAGCAGCGGAAGCTTCACATTCCGACGATAGACCGCAATATCGGCGATCCCCCGCCTTTTGTTGTTGTAGTTCATGGCCCTCCTCAGGTGGGGTTGATATATTTGACTATGTGGGCATTTTGATGAAATTTTAATTTGTGTTATTGTGTTTGTTAATTGGGGGTTGATATTGTTGCTGACTGTTTTGTGTTGTAATTTTACTTTATATTTGATGTAGGTAGGGAAGTCTTTGCTGATTAAGTGTCTTGTGAAGCATTACACCAGGCACAATTTGCCCGATGTTCGGGGTCCAATTACCATCGTATCAGGTTTGCTTGATTCACAGTTGCTTAAATTCTGTTTCTAATTTATGAGGCAGTATGTTTCAAGTTTGTTCGTCTTCAATTAGGTGCTTGTTTGAATGATGATGTTTTTGCTAGGATTTAGCTTCAAAAATGAAATAATGAAGACTATGGATTTCTTGAAATGGACTAAAATATGGTGCCTTCTTATTATAGGTAAACAAAGACGCCT